GCCCAAAAGAGCCCTGCACCAACGTGTGCAAAGTGCAGGAGGACAGATTCATTGTTCAGCAGCAGAGTGTTTTTATTGGCTCTACCTGGCATCGGGTACAGTAACAGCTTCCAAATATTGGACACTGCATACATGTTCAATGCAAACAAAAACATTGTCAGACGTTCTGTACGTTCCTATACTCTCGGTATGTAATCGATCACCAAAAGCGACATTCATGTTTCATTTCCATATACTTCCAAACATCACCTGTACAAAACCTTGCACATATTGTGACAGGTGGGTATGGGGCTCAACCATAACTCACCTAGCAACTGGCCAGAATGCTCCCTCAACAGCACCTCCATATGCAAACAGTTAAGTCAAAGACTGTCCGGGACAGTCCCAACCATGGTGCAGTGCAGCAAAACAGCCAAGAGGCTGACAAATTGGAAACGACGTCAGCCTTCTAGCTGTTTGACTGCACTGCACCGTGGTTTCTAGATCACTGCAGTACTTAGCACGCTACCACGTGGATGACTAAATGAGTCATCTGACCGCAACCCAAGCTATACATTACAGCTCTACACATACAGCATGTGCAACGATATGGCAATGAGTGACAAACACTTCGGAATGCCCAAAACACTGATACAACCCCTTACGGTGTGCTCTTGAGACTTCGATGGCTGGAACGTTTCAGGTGGCAAACTAACTACTCCTTTCGAAAGACAGTTACGTTTTGTGCAAGTAATTACAGGAACTGCTTCACACGAGTGACCGAACAAATGAACCCAATCTCTGCGGTTGAGATTGCGCGACCGACAATAAGGCCGTTTTGTGATATTGGCGGTTCTGCTAGATACCAGAACGCAGTGACACCGGCCCTGCTGCTCTACTACGTTCCAGCCATCGAACAGAGGACACTTCACATTGCAACCCGAAAAATATACGTTCGAACCCCGATTCTTCCGAACGAAGCACGCCAAACTATTCTCCGGTAACACCGATATCTTCGGACCGCACGGACGGAAATGGCTTCCTATAAGGATGAAAAACAGATTTGCACGTTCGACGGCTGTAGAACGAATGCTAAACATCTAAAACACACACGACAAAAGCACGTGAAATTCCCATTGACGTGCACCCGGTGAAACGCATTTCCCATCTTCGACATAGAATAGGCCGACAAAAATACCACGAGCGATAACCATACTTAACTTGCAAACCTGACATCGAATCCGCTTCCATTTTGAGAAACGAGTACTTCGTGTCCCCCACAGTCATACTTCAACTTCACTGGTTCTTTGCCAAATCGGACCCCATCTTCGCACAGAACCTACAATGACAAAAAACTTTACAACGCTTGCACTTGTCGACGCTTGCGCACCGACCGACAGCATCAAGAGTATCTTGAACCATCTTTGGAACGCACCGCTGGTGCGTAGAGGAAGAGAATACATTACCATCACCGGGACTTCGCACCCCAATATTTATGACAAGAGTTGAGGACCGAGCACCTTGACTGACGGGAAACCTGCACGCTGAAAATCGATCGTACTTCACCGACGCTACTGTGCTCCCTACCCGAATCCCGATATCTCCTTCCAATATTAAACTCAGAACGCAGCTTGACGATCTCTTTGCTCAGAACCCCGCAGCATGCAAATATAGGAAATGTTTCTCCGTATTCACGATTTAGTCGATACTTACCTCGACTGAACGATGATTTCCTCTACCTCCGCACGGGACTGTCACGTTTCCGTGTCCCCGGATGCGCCCGCATTATCTCCTCTTCATTTCATCACGCATTTTCATCATCAGCTCATTATCCTTAGACGCTGAAAACACACCAATGCCTATAAAGTATCCAGCGCTAACATCTGCGATTCAGACACACGCACTGAGGAAACCTCACAGCAGCTTCCTCTGACCCTTCGTTCGTCCCCGCCCGATGGTAACCATTGCTACGAGTGATGGCCGATCGGGTGACGCTCCGCTCCCTCTCCTCCCACCGAACCGCTGCCCAACCGATACCGAAATTAGCTACGTACGTGACAAAAAGTAGCGCGCGCCAGTGATATGTGACGAGACACAGCTTGGAAGCACGTGAGGTCGGCTCTCTATTTTCCCTCCACCGCTGTCATCCCCGCGAAGGACCGTAAGAGTACTCACACGCACCTTGCCCGACATTCTTCTCCAAACCGCACCTCCTGAAGCCTCTTAAGTACCTGCAAACGCAAAATAAATGAGTACTGACCGTCAAACCCAAGGATGATGCAACACATCCCACCCTATTTCTGCAAGAAACTATCTACGGTAACAAACCCTGGAATCACGGGTCATGAGATCCCTCACCCCTCCCTAGTATTGCAACTCTCAGTCCCCCTACATATTTTCCACGCTCCCCTCCCCACCGCTACCCCTGCCCCAAAAGATATCAAACACATCTCCACACCTGCACCACACATCCACAATACGTTCGAGGAAAAAACAATACTCAACGTTTTAGGGCACACGTGACAACACGCTCACTAACCATCCACCTAAATCCAACCTTCTTCTAGATAAGAAGCGACACCTTAACCCAAATGTTGTCTTCTCCATCTGTTGTCTCACACGTACAAAACTGGTGGAGAACCCGTGCGTAATAAGCCCACCTCACCTAACAAAGCAAAGACCACACTCCCATTGAGAGAAGTGCACCAAAAGCTCTAACTTAACACTTACCTCATGGATGCAACCGGCTCCTCTGCTCCCGCCGGCGCCACGTAGACCAAACGGGCTGCGCTTGCCCCAGCCAATTCCCTCTGTTCTGGACTCCGATCCCCCTGTGGCATGCAAACAATAAATGCCACATTATTGCTAAATCCACAACGGCGCAATACTACATTCCCTTTGCTAAACTGCCCTATTCAACACGCCGAAAGAGCCCTGACGCATTCATACCCACAATGAAGGAGCAACCGACTGCTTCTATGTAGTTAAAATGAAGACACAACATACTGAAAAATTACACAATACTCACAGCCTTTTCCCACCCTGACTGGGACCCATCGCTAACTACAATGCTCACATCCTCCTGAGGAAACCAACACCCAGTAGAGGACAGACAAACAAGGTAGTGGTGACCAGTGATGCAAACCCAGTGCTGCGTAAGAGAGAAGAACAGAGAATGGAGCATCTCTAGTTACAGAAAGGTCACTCTGCCAGCACTCGACCTTCCTCCAAGGAGAGCGCACGCTCCCTCCGTACAATGAGCTCCCTCCCACGCCGGTTAAGAACTAGCAGAGTTTACAGGACTTCTGTCCCTAAACAAGAAGCCTTAATGGCACAAATACTTCTGACTATCGAACCCTTCGGCAGAGACTTAACTTTGACAGCTGCTCCCGCTCTCAAGATCTTCTTGTCCTTTATACACAGGCCTTTGCTCCCATAAGTTGACAGCCGTACGGCGATGTCATGATACGGTCGCAGAGAAGTAGTCACGACCCTCCACGGAACGACACGGTGCCAGATCTGGACACGTCTGCAAAGACAAACAAAGCTGGACTGCGAACAGACTCACAAAGCGCCCAGCTACACAACATGAAACATGACTTCACCTGCATACTGCTTCCTTAAGAGAAGGAACACCTACTAAACATTACAGCCCCCTCAGAGAAGCACCCACCCACCCTAAACAGTCTAATCCACATACTGGTGGCCCTCCACATGTCCCACCACATTGTGACCCATCGCTAACGAGGATGCTCACATCCTCCTCGGAAAACCACCACCGTGTAGAGGAAAACGCAAGGTGGAAGCGGTGACCTGTGATGCAAACCCAGTGCTGCGTACGAGAGAAGAAGAACTGAGAACGGAGCATCTCTAGTTACGGACAGGTCACTCTGCCAGAGATCGACCTTCCCTCGGGGGAAACGCACGCTCCCTCCGTGCAACGAGCTCCCGCCCACCCCTCACGTGCCCATTCAGAATGGGGAGAGTTTAGAGGACTCCCGCCCCTAAACGAGGAGCCTCAATGGCTCAAATACTTCTGGCTACCGAACCCTTCGGCAGAGACTTAACTTTGACAGCCGCTCCTGCTCTCAAGATCTTCTTGTCCTTTGTACACGGACCTTCGCTCCCATATGCTAACATGACAGTCACAGAGAAGTAGTCATGACACTCCACGGAACGAGGCGACACGGTACTGGATGTGGAAGCATCTGCAAATACAAACAAAGCTTGACCGAAAACCTACTCGCAAAGCTCCCAGATACACGATACAAAAGATGACCTCACCTACATACTGCTTCCTAAAGAGAAGGAACACCTACTAAACATTACCCACCCCCCCACCCGAGAGAAGCACCCACCCACCCCAAACACGCTCATCCACATATCGGTGGCCCTCCCCGTGTCCCACCAAAACGGGAGCCCATCGCTAACTAGGATGCTCACATCCTCCTCGGAAAACCACCACCACGTAGAGGAGAACACAAGTTGGAAGCGGTGACCTGTGATGCAAAACTAGTGCTGCGTACGAGAGAAGAAGAACTGAGAACGGAGCATCTCTAGTTACGGACAGGTCACTCTGCCAGCGATCGACCTTCCCTCGGAGGAAACGCACGCTCTCTCCGTGCAACGAGCTCCCGCCCACCCCTCACGTGCCCATTCAGAATGGGGAGAGTTTAGAGGACTCCCGCCCCTAAACGAGGAGCCTCAATGGCTCAAATACTTCTGGCTACCGAACCCTTCGGCAGAGACTTAACTTTGACAGCCGCTGCCGCTCTCAAGATCTTCTTGTCCTTTGTACGTGGGCCTTTGCTCCCGTACGTTGACAACCGTACAGCGATGTCGTGACGGTCAAAGAGAAGTAATCACGACCCTCCACGGAATGAGACTACTCGGTACTGGATCTGGACGCATTTGAAAGTAAAAACAAAGCTTGACTGCAAACCTCAGTTATAAACTCTACTCACAAAGCTCCCGACACCACAATATGAAAGATGACCTCACCTACATACCGATTCCTTGAGAGAGGAACAGCTACTCCACATTACACCCCCCACCCATAGAACACTCTCATCCACCTGGAAAATGGCTACGCTTCTACATAGTGGTGGCTCTCCCCCTTTCCCTACACCACAGGGGCCCATCGCTAACTAGGATGCTCACATCCTCCTCGGAAAACCACCACCGTGTAGAGGAAAACGCAAGGTGGAAGCGGTGACCTGTGATGCAAACCCAGTGCTGCGTACGAGAGAAGAAGAACTGAGAACGGAGCATCTCTAGTTACGGACAGGTCACTCTGCCAGAGATCGACCTTCCCTCGGGGGAAACGCACGCTCCCTCCGTGCAACGAGCTCCCGCCCACCCCTCACGTGCCCATTCAGAATGGGGAGAGTTTAGAGGACTCCCGCCCCTAAACGAGGAGCCTCAATGGCTCAAATACTTCTGGCTACCGAACCCTTCGGCAGAGACTTAACTTTGACAGCCGCTCCTGCTCTCAAGATCTTCTTGTCCTTTGTACACGGACCTTCGCTCCCATATGCTAACATGACAGTCACAGAGAAGTAGTCATGACACTCCACGGAACGAGGCGACACGGTACTGGATGTGGAAGCATCTGCAAATACAAACAAAGCTTGACCAAAAACCTACTCGCAAAGCTCCCAGATACACGATACAAAAGATGACCTCACCTACATACTGCTTCCTAAAGAGAAGGAACACCTACTAAACATTACCCACCCCCCCACCCGAGAGAAGCACCCACCCACCCCAAACACGCTCATCCACATATCGGTGGCCCTCCCCGTGTCCCACCAAAACGGGAGCCCATCGCTAACTAGGATGCTCACATCCTCCTCGGAAAACCACCACCACGTAGAGGAGAACACAAGTTGGAAGCGGTGACCTGTCATGCCAACCCAGTGCTGCGTAAGAGAGAAGAACTGAGAACGGAGCATCTCTAGTTACAGACAGGTCACTCTGCCAGAGATCGACCTTCCCTCGGGGGAAACGCACGCTCCCTCCGTGCAACGAGCTCCCGCCCACCCCTCACGTGCCCATTCAGAATGGGGAGAGTTTAGAGGACTCCCGCCCCTAAACGAGGAGCCTCAATGGCTCAAATACTTCTGGCTACCGAACCCTTCGGCAGAGACTTAACTTTGACAGCCGCTCCTGCTCTCAAGATCTTCTTGTCCTTTGTACACGGACCTTCGCTCCCATATGCTAACATGACAGTCACAGAGAAGTAGTCATGACACTCCACGGAATGAGACTGACACGGTACTGGATCTGGACGCATCTGAAAGTACAAACAAAGCTTGACCGCAAACCTCAGTTATAAACTCTACTCACAAAGCTCCCAGACACCACAATACGAAAGATGACCTCACCTACATACCGATTCCTAGAGAGAGGAACAGCTACTAAACATTACCCACCCCCCCCACCCCCCGATAGAAGCACTCTCACCCACCCCGAAAATCTACGCTCATCCACATAGTGGTGGCCCTCCCCCTGTCCCTACACCACAGGGGCCCATCGCTAACTAGGATGCTCACATCCTCCTCGGAAAACCACCACCACGTAGAGGAGAACACAAGTTGGAAGCGGTGACCTGTCATGCCAACCCAGTGCTGCGTAAGAGAGAAGAACTGAGAACGGAGCATCTCTAGTTACAGACAGGTCACTCTGCCAGAGATCGACCTTCCCTCGGGGGAAACGCACGCTCCCTCCGTGCAACGAGCTCCCGCCCACCCCTCACGTGCCCATTCAGAATGGGGAGAGTTTAGAGGACTCCCGCCCCTAAATGAGGAGCCTCAATGGCTCAAATACTTCTGGCTACCGAACCCTTCGGCAGAGACTTAACTTTGACAGCCGCTCCTGCTCTCAAGATCTTCTTGTCCTTTGTACACGGACCTTCGCTCCCATATGCTAACATGACAGTCACAGAGAAGTAGTCATGACACTCCACGGAATGACGTGACACGGTACTGGATGTGGAAGCATCTGCAAATACAAACAAAGCTTGACCGAAAACCTACTCGCAAAGCTCCCAGATACACGATACAAAAGATGACCTCACCTACATACTGCTTCCTAAAGAGAAGGAACACCTACTAAACATTACCCACCCACCCCCACCCGAGAGAAGCACCCACCCACCCCGAAACACGCTCATCCACATATCGGTGGCCCTCCCCGTGTCCCACCACAACAGGGGCCCATCGCTAACTAGGATGCTCTCATCCTCCTCGGAAAACCACCACCACGTAGAGGAGAACACAAAGTGGAAGCAGTGACCTGTGATGCAAACCCAGTGCTGCGTATGAGAGAAGAACTGAGAACGGAGCATCTCTAGTTACAGACAGGTCACTCTGCCAGCGATCGACCTTCCCTCGGGGGAAACGCACGCTCCCTCCGTGCAACGAGCTCCCGCCCACCCCTCACGTGCCCATTCAGAATGGGGAGAGTTTAGAGGACTCCCGCCCCTAAACGAGGAGCCTCAATGGCTCAAATACTTCTGGCTACCGAACCCTTCGGCAGAGACTTAACTTTGACAGCCGCTCCTGCTCTCAAGATCTTCTTGTCCTTTGTACACGGGCCTTCGCTCCCATATGCTAACACATGTCGTGACAGTCACAGAGAAGTAGTCATGACACTCCACGGAACGAGGCTACACGGTACTGGATCTGGAAGCATCTGCAAATAAAAACAAAGCTTGACTGCAAACCTATTATAAACCTACTCACAAAGCTCCCAGATACACACAATACGAAAGATGACCTCACCTACATACTGCTTCCTAGAGAGAAGGAACACCTACTAAACATTACCCACCCCCCACCCGAGAAAGCACCTCACCCACCCCGAAAATCTACGCTCATCCACATACTGGTGGCCCTCCCCGTGTCCCACCAAAACGGGAGCCCATCGCTAACTAGGATGCTCACATCCTCCTCGGAAAACCACCACCACGTAGAGGAGAACACAAGTTGGAAGCGGTGACCTGTCATGCCAACCCAGTGCTGCGTAAGAGAGAAGAACTGAGAACGGAGCATCTCTAGTTACGGACAGGTCACTCTACCAGCAATCGACCTTCCCTTGGGGGAAACGCACGCTCCCTCCGTGCAACGAGCTCCCGCCCACCCCTCACGTGCCCATTCAGAATGGGGAGAGTTTAGAGGACTCCCGCCCCTAAATGAGGAGCCTCAATGGCTCAAATACTTCTGGCTACCGAACCCTTCGGCAGAGACTTAACTTTGACAGCCGCTCCTGCTCTCAAGATCTTCTTGTCCTTTGTACACGGACCTTCGCTCCCATAGTTGACAACCGTAACATGTTGACAGTCACAGAGAAGTAGTCATGACACTCCACGGAATGAGGCGACACGGTACTGGATCTGGACGCATCTGCAAATACAAACAAAGCTTGACTGCAAACCTCAGTTATAAACTCTACTCGCAAAGCTCCCAGACACCACAATACAAAAGATGACCTCACCTACATACTGCTTCCTAAAGAGAAGGAACACCTACTAAACATTACCCCCCCCCCCCGAGAGAAGCACCCACCCACCCCGAAAATGGCTACGCTCATCCACATAGTCGGTGGCCCTCCCCGTGTCCCACCAAAACGGGAGCCCATCGCTAACTAGGATGCTCACATCCTCCTCGGAAAACCACCACCATGTAGAGGAAAACGCAAGGTGGAAGCGGTGACCTGTGATGCAAACCCAGTGCTGCGTACGAGAGAAGAAGAACTGAGAACGGAGCATCTCTAGTTACGGACAGGTCACTCTGCCAGAGATCGACCTTCCCTCGGGGGAAACGCACGCTCCCTCCGTGCAACGAGCTCCCGCCCACCCCTCACGTGCCCATTCAGAATGGGGAGAGTTTAGAGGACTCCCGCCCCTAAACGAGGAGCCTCAATGGCTCAAATACTTCTGGCTACCGAACCCTTCGGCAGAGACTTAACTTTGACAGCCGCTGCCGCTCTCAAGATCTTCTTGTCCTTTGTACGTGGGCCTTTGCTCCCGTACGTTGACAACCGTACAGCGATGTCGTGACGGTCAAAGAGAAGTAATCACGACCCTCCACGGAATGAGACTACTCGGTACTGGATCTGGACGCATTTGAAAGTAAAAACAAAGCTTGACTGCAAACCTCAGTTATAAACTCTACTCACAAAGCTCCCGACACCACAATATGAAAGATGACCTCACCTACATACCGATTCCTTGAGAGGGAACAGCTACTCCACATTACACCCCCCACATAGAACACTCTCATCCACATGGAAAATGGCTACGCTTCTACATAGTGGTGGCTCTCCCCCTTTCCCTACACCACAG